TTTTTTTTTTTTGGGGGGGGGGGGGACACTTCTATTGTCCCGTGTGTGTAGCCTATGACGCATACCGGTAGGCGCATCCTTTGTACAAAATTGGACAAATTTGGAATTTTGTCTTTGGCAACTTAATTAAGTATTGCAACAGATGTTCAAAATGTGCTGTTGAAAAGCAGATGATTGTCATTATGGTAAAGTGTCCGTAGATTCTAAAATTGTTTGATTTTTTAAAGATACTTGAAAAAGGAGAAATGGGTGGAGAAATGGGATAATGATAGTTATTGAAAGTCATGCTATGGTTTCGTGATTTGTTGTAAATGTGCAATATCATCTCAAATGTAGAATTAATCACCACCTACCAGTTGTGCTTGATAAATGGTTGAAATATTATATCAGCTATGAGGTAGATAAAGGTAGTTTATCCCTGTTTACACGACTGACCGGTAAGTACGGTGTTTAATTTGTTACACATGATTGTTTAATACAGACTTGACGTTTAATATGGAATATTTTAGTTTCAAAGGTACGCTTTGGTAAAAATGCGTTCTTTTTTTTAAAAAAAACTTGGATCTCATATAAGATATCTGACTGGAGAAGTATGAAGTCAGGTGTGTCGCTACCAAATAACTGACAACCAAGTCTGTTGCACTGCTGCATTGTGTAATATGCAGTGATTTAATTGGGTAGTGCTCCTTTGGGCTGGTCAAAGCTTGACTTTGGCGAAGCATGGTTCTGTCAAAAAATATCCATATGTCGGCAACCACTGCATAGAAGAATTTGAAATTTTGCATGTAAATGGTCGGTTTTGCAGTCCGTAAAATGAGTTAAGCAGTGTTTTACAAACTTGTTAATATGCGCTAGAATGGCAAGATAAAACAGACATTTCCAGACAGATTATTGTGTCAAATGGAATGGTCTGCACAGTCTTATAGAGTTATGCCCAGACTGATTTACCTACACAGAGGTCACGCCCAATGTATCGAAATCTTACCACCAGGGTACAGGACTCACTGTCCTTTAGGAAAGCTGCTGCAAGTAAACAGAAACCACCCAGTCCGTTCGAAACGAGGGGCAAATTGTCACCAAAATGCGTTTTTTCAAGGCCCTTAGCGAACACCAAACTGATTTCAGCGATTAGGATACCAGACGACCTGTGAAGAAGCCACTGTAAACAGCAAAACAGCGTCGTCTGTTTCTCTAATGAATTGGGGACCATGACCGTTTCTGGGTAGGACACTGAAACCGCGTGGCTTTCTTTATTGAGATCAGTTTTCACCTGTACTGCTTAACTGGCCAAAACAGAGTTTACAGACATCCTGACGAGACCTACGACAAGGCGTGTGTCGCTTCTGAAGTTACTAGGGTCATTGACAGCGTCAGTATTTTGAGTGAATACCACATTGGTGCCAAAACACCAATGGTAGTCATCGATGAAAACCTGAACCAGATCAAATAAAGGAATAATCTGGGGACCACTTGACTATCATTTGATAGGGGGCACCTTAGGAACAATTTTAGGTTGCACGAGGAGATTGCCGGTTCACAAAGAACAATTTTAATAGCAGATAAATTACAGAACCAAGGGAATGAGCAGCTACCTTGGTCATCAAAATCGCCATATTTGAACCACATAGACAATATGTGTGTAGGTCATTACTCGCCGAATCAACGGCTTGCATGTCCTACAACAGATCTAAAACAAATTGGACATGTTTTGACCGTTGCCTGGAATTTTATTCCAGATTAAACTCTAAAAATCTATCCCAAGGAATGCCTTGACGCTTGAGAGCCCTGATAGCAGCAAGATGAGGTCCGGCGTAACAGTGACCATTGCTGTGACTAGACACTGACATGATGATCCTTTGTGGGGCGTGTAACTCTTTTAAAGAAGGTAATTTGGAAAAGTATGGAGATCCAAAATATCGCTTTCAATGGTTGTTGTATGACATAGAATAGGCAATGTATTTTTGTTTGCTTCACTAGCGAATTCAATTAACGAACTGATGTCACAATGACATCAAAGAAGTTATCAAAAGCTATTAAACACAATTTTAATCCTTATTTTCATTTATCAGTCTGCAAAATAGGAAAAAACTGAAGAATTATGATTTGAAAAAAATATTCCATATTAAATGTCAAGTCTGTATATTCAGAAAAAATCATGAGATATGACGATTTAAGGGAGAGGTTCAGATTTCGTTTGTTGCTGGATGAGTGTGCATTTTATATGTTAGAATATAGAGTTTTTCTCTCACTTTTGATTTTCAGTTGATTGAAAATATACAGCATGTTCAATCGCTTACAGAAGACAACCGGTGCCTAACCTTATGACCTACACTAGATTTCTCTGACAATTGTATGGTTCATGATAAGTGAATTATATATTTATGCTTGGAAAATGAGCAACTCTTATAATTTCTCTTATATTTTTTCTACATGATTTTCAGAAAATGACAAAATCATACATAATCAGCGACCAGTTGTCGGTGGACGAGAACAAGGTGGAGCGTCTCAGTCGGCCGTCCAGCGTCCACGTCACCCAAGACCGGTGCGGCGTCGGCGTCCTGCAATGCTGCGCCAACGTCAAAATGTTCACGACCAACTTTGCACTCATCATGTTGACGCACAGCATTATATACACCTATCTCAGCTCTGTAATCACAACCATAGAGAAACGCTTCGGACTTAACAGCACGCAGACCGGTCTCTTGGCGAGCGTTTACGAAATCGGTTCCATCGTCAGTATAATAGTGGGGACTTATTTATTAAGCCGCGTCCATGTGCCAAGGTACATCTCCATTGCAACGGTTATTGCCGCCATTGGTGCCCTGGGGATGGCAGTCCCCCATTTTGCGTATGGGTCGGGTGTGACAGAGTTTGTGGATAATAATTCCACGCAGCAGACAACATTCGCGCTGTGTGGGAACTCCTCCAATAGTAACTCTTCCTGCGAGTCAAGTGCAATAATAATAACGCAAGGCAAGATCATATACTTATGAACGGAGTTTTGACACTTTACGTACAGCGTTCCTCTTATTAAATACAGTGTATGGCTTGATTGCGTAAATTTTATAGGAATGAGGATATTTAGCAGAATATAGAATGCTTTTTATGCACACTGTTAGAAGGAAAATTGTGCCATATGCGCTCCATGTCAGTTTCAGATTTTAGTTTTCTATAATTTAGATTTTAATTTAAAAAAATATTTGCTGATATTTTAGGAAGTTATTCCCATTCAGAAATCAAGAAAAGGGGCTGTAATATCTTAAGTGTAAACGAGGTTGGAGAAATGTGAATTCAATTCGAAGCACTTTATCGAAGCTTTGTGATAAAACAACGCTGAAAAATCACCAGCTTAACGTTATTATTATTATTATTATTATTATTATTATTTTTATTATTATTATTATTATAGAGTCCAGCATGGCGTTCTTGATGTTCATACTGTTCCAGTTGTTAAACGCTCTAGGGTTTGCCCCTGCCTACCCTCTTGGGGTGACGTACATAGATGAAAATGTGCCCAATACCCATACGGCGGCATACTCGTGTGAGAATTTATTATTTGATTCATTTGTTTAATTGTTTGAATGTCTTTTGTTGGACTGTGCGTTTGTTGGTCTATTTATTATTTCTATCTGGCCGGTGAAGTGCTTACTTTACAAAGAGTCAAAGAATTCATTATTTCGTTGAACCTTTGTTTATTAGATTGTTTGTTTCTTGGTCTATTCATCGCGTTTATTATCTCTACCTTACTTGTGCTTGTTTTAAGCAAAAGTGTTTTTTTTTTTTATTTACCAAAAAGTCGCCTCTGGGACATTGGTGTATTTGTCTTTAATCTTTAGTAGAATGTAGGAAGAGAAAATGTAACATAACTGCCGTGAGATGGGAGCCATGACCAAAAGTTTGTTCTGTTTCAGCTATCGTGTTTGGCGTGAACATTATTGGACCTGTGATTGGGTTCGTCTTAGGGGCAGTAACACTTGCCTATTATGTAGACTTTTTGGAAGGTATGTGTCTCAATCTCGAGCTATCTGTCTTTCTTTCTCCTTCTCTCTGAGAGCGATCCAGAGAGTTCCTAAGCTTCACTTATCTAATTTTCTTTTACTTTCATCCATTTGATTTATTTTGTTAATGCAAAAAGTAGTGGTCTTCAAGGAAGAAGTCGGCGACTTATAAGGGGTTCGAGAAAGCGAATATTACGATTAACGAATGTCGCATTGTGTAATGGAACCATTTTAACAACATAAAAAAAAAAAAAAAAAAAAAAAGGCGAGAAAGGCGAGAATAGTGAATTTTTTTTCCCAAACGAAAGTAAGTACCTAAATATAGCGGTCTGAGTGTGTGAAAAAGTTAGGTTATGGATAACAGAAACAATTTATTTAAAATCTTTACAGGATTCAGCCTGCCCAGGTCGCATCCTCAGTTTATAGGAGCCTGGTGGTTAGGCTTTGTCATCATTGCTGGCTTGTCTTTACTCTCAGCACCCTCTATGGCTTTGTTTCCCCGCCACATGCCTAGCAGGAAGCACACTGACAAAGAAGATGGAACGGCGAAAGAGAAATCTTTCGCAAAACTAGTTAAAGGTTTTTTTTAGGGTTTTAAGATTTTACTTGTTTTAATTAAAATTAATTTTGTCTATTTCTTTGAAATAGGTTTTCCTTGGCACAATTTACAGAGAGAAAAAAAGGACATTAAACATTGCTTTTACTTATTAAAATCTTGTTTTCTCAACGACTAGTTTTATCTATGGAGTACATGTACGTCCATCAGAACTTAGTACATGCACCTGCTATATATAAGTTTCCATGTAGAATATAAAGGAAACCAGCTTTTAAGACGAAAAAATGGAAGTCTTTGTTCTAGCATGTTGTCTACAACAATTTGTGACACTACCTAGCTCGATATACATATATATTCAATTTTTAATTTATCATTTTTTTTTGTATAGAATTTCCCCGCTCTGTCAAGCGACTGTTCACAACGCCGCCATTTTTGTGTGTGACTCTTGGGATATGCTGTGAATTGTGGATGGTTGGAGGGTATATGATATTTCTACCAAAGTATCTGGAGACGCAGTTCAAGGCACCGGCGTTCCTAGCCACTCTGATAACAGGTAGAACAGACGAGTTCGAAATGATTTTTTTACACGTGTACATTGTACAGGAGTGAAACCCGATAATCATAATAAAATATACATGATAATATAAACATTTAAACAATGTTTAAATAAGATATAATTAAAAACTAATAGAAAGAAAGAAATTATATTGGTGCCCTCAACAATTTTGTAAAATGTACTACAGGTGCAAACATACAAAGCCTTATGCTCAATACAATGTCTACAATAGCCTACAATACGTATAAGCCAACAAAAATTTACAAAAGTAAATATATACAATAAATATATGTACAGTGTAGGCCTACTGGTCTAAACTCTACCGTATGTGTATATGAATCTTAATAACTAAACTCACTATTTCAGCTTTTGTGGCAGCAGTTGCCAGCGTTCTTGGAATCCTCCTTGGTGGGTTCCTGGGGTCAAAGTTCAAGTTTCACTCCCTCCAACATGCCCGGATGTTACTGTTTTGTAGCGTGGTCAGCACGCTGTTGTTTGTGGCTCTCTTCTTCCTGGGCTGTCCCTC